CATCCCAGGGACTTTATCACCTCAAAGACACTTAGAACATTGGACGCTGATGGGAAACCTCACTAAGGAGTATTTCGCATCATATAGAATAAGGAGACACTCCCTTAATTTCGATGGTTGCGATTTTCATTTCAATGCAGCAGCGTTCACTATTTTCCAAATCGGCACTCAACACATCATGCTGAGTTCCCGTGTGAAATTTGATTGTCACAGTTTCAATACCTTATTTCTCGCTATTACACCATCGCGTGCACTGGACAGCTAGAATAGTTTATCTGATGATTGGTTCTTTCATTTTTACAGCACTTAATATTTCCATAATCGTCCCTCTTTCGTCAATATTTAGTCCGCCGCCCTACAGGCCTTCAGATTATCTCACACACCACTTGTGGCAAGCCTCTTTAGTGGGCTTTCGCTCTCAGGTCTCTCATTGAGGAGCCTCACTTTCCGTGACTGTGCTCTTTCTGGCCCCCCGTTATACTGTCTTCTCCGCCTGCTGCGATGCCTCATGACTTATACAGGTAATAGCAATGATAGTGGCCTTTCCAAAGCCTCTACAGGAGCTAATGGAAGTCGCTATCTGCGGCCTTCCTTCCGTGGGCCTATGGCTCCAGTGCCATGGGGTCTGAGCCTGCACCTACCCGAGAATAGGATTCACGGAGCTGACGCAACGAATCTTCTTTTGCTTGTCCGTCACCAACTTGTTCTTCTTCCTGGCCCGCCTACTCCCGACACCGTTACCCCTACCGCTGCCTCTGCATGTACCAATAAACCCACTGGCGGCTCAGGCTACCTAGAGGAGCTCGATTTGTCCCACAATTCCCTTAGAGTGCGTGTTGTTTGCATAATACTAGAGCTAATTTTAAGGGAGTTATGAACTACTTTAGTTTGAGAGTAACTTAAGGAAGTATACGATGATTACTAGTCTGTAAGTAACGTTATTCGAATATGGTTTAGTTTTGACAAAACTGACTTGAGTTGGTGTTGTATATTTGCTGGATTCGTGCAATGATCTATCCATTTCCAATTACATCCTTTCCGAAACAACTTACAAAAGCAATTTTAAAACGGGATGAATATGAACCCACCTCTGAATTAGTTGTTAGGCCGTTCTCCAATTGAATTGAAGATGCAATTCAAAAGGTAGCAATTGGAAACTGCACTGGCAGGAGCATTCCTACATCGAAGCAGACACATTGTGAATTAATGCAGACTGAATAACTTTCTCAGTTTTCAAGAGAATCGAAGTTTTGCAATTCATTCGATTATGAACTTGTTTCCTGTGACCTTTTACCATGTCCGGCAACTTCCAACTGCACATTTCTATTTCCCGTTGTCTCGTGGCAAGTTGCTGACTTTATTGTTGGATTTAATACACGAATATTTCTTTAATACAAGGTTACAGTTGCTGACCGAGTCATTCACTTCAATCTCTAATGTCTTTACAAATTTGAGCGTTGGTTGTGAGGCCCTAGACGGTACCTTTTGCTGTTATCCGTGATCCTTTTGAAGAGCTTACTTTTATCCACACTTAACACCTTTGATCTTAGGAGGGGATATGAAGAATAGTGGGCTGCGGATGCGCTTGATGCTGCCCCGCCAAAGCGTGTAAACTAACGCAGCAATCAGCCCTACGTTACTGCTCTTATCACATTAACCAGCTTGAAAAAAAACACCAGTTGCTGCGATGTTCTTCAAGCATGTACGGTTAAAAGACATGTTTTTTCTATTTAATAGTCAAACTTAAGGGGTCCGCCTTGTGCTTAAAGTCTCCAATCACAGTTTCACAAACAACAAAATGCATGCATTTGAATACTTGCAAATTCGGGCAAGGCGTAGAGCACTTCTCTGCCCCTTTTAAGGGAAGGGAATGCTAGGAAGCAGTAAGGCTCTTGCGAAGCTCCTGCTGTTCCGACTTTTGTGGATTAACTTTCATCCGATCTCCTACAAACGAAGTGCGACTCGCACTACAAGTCTTTCAACCGCCTAGTACAACCTTAAATTGTAAATGCGATTTGACGGCTTGGCAAAAATGGTAGTATCAATTCCATAATTTGAATTTAATCTTGTTTTTCCAGGTTCTTGCTATTACGGTAATACTTGTTACCGTTTTGTTATAAGTCTCAGTATCCTCGAAGCTATCTTTTGGTGGTGCAAAAGGACTTACGAACAATTACGAGTTCTGCATCTTTTTGATGTTAGTCTGTTTCTATTGGTAATTGTCAGATTTCCCCATAATGATCGTTATCTCAACTTACTATAAAGCTTATCCGATTCAGTTTTACTCGAGGCCCAAGAAGTTAAGTAAATGACTGACGTAATCGTAATGTGCAACGCTTGTTAAAATGAATGTTTGATAATGCTGATAGTGCGCCAACATGACACAACTCCACTTGCACTAATAGGTTTTAGTATTTGATTTTTGCGGTTTTTTAAAGGTTGGATCAAGTCAACTGTTTTGAGTAGATTGGTGCCGATGTCAGTTTGTAGTTCAAAACGTATTCAGTTTTCTTTGAAGGGATGTCTAAAGGTGAGGTGATGATTTCAAGCCTTTTTTTGCGAAAAATGGTTCCACAATAGCTTTTTTTACCTACAGTTAAGAATGTGATCGCTCGATTTGCTATTTTTACTCTATGTTAGAGACAACTGTTCATTGATGCGCGTCCCAAATCACTTTGGTAGACAGTAAAATTCTGCCAAACCTTTTTGTTAAATAATTCAATTGAAGAATGTGTTGGCATGCACATAATTATGCTAATATGCCAAAGAATATGAATATGGCATCATTATTTTAGAAATAATCATCTTCAATTTCCAAAACATCACCTCCTGCATGACGTTTTATGGCTGGCCGAACAACAAACCATTTATACGGAATTCAGATGTTCCCTCTTCATCTGGTAGGACGAGGGTGTGCGGGTGTTGTGCTCTGGTCTGCTCCAAGCCTACGAGCTGCAGCATCGACGTTTGGAAGTCGCCCTTGCTGCGATCGCTCAAGCTACCGCCACCTTTGACGCCTCTCGCACCATGATGCCTCCGAAGTGTGCTTTGCCGCAGGCACGCGGACTACAGCGTCTCAACTTGGCGGACAACGGACTCGGTGGTGGAGGGGCCGGGCGCCACTTAGCTGCAGTGCTACGCTGCTCTATCGAACGTCTCGCACCCCTCCTCGGTGGCCTTACCCATCTTGATCTCAGCGACAACCCGGGCTTCGGAGATGCCGGTGTGGTCGATCTCTGCGATGGCCTCGTTCGGAACTTCACTCTTCGTGAGCTGTGTCTGCGCAATGTACGCGTTGGATTTGATGGTGAGTTACTTTTATATGCGTCATCTGTCCCGAAATAATTTGTCTAGGCGAGTAGATGAGTTGTTTGGAAGGCATGCTTACAGCTATTGATATTTCCACCTGAAAGGGGTTAAGATGGTTTTGGCTTTGGGCATTCGGTAGAATACGTCAATGGCACCTGCTTTTATAGGTTTAAATCGGGGGATCCAAGATGACAATTTGACTTCTTCAAACATGTGCACATTCGTTCATTTCTTGTCGAGCCAATCGTGTCGCCAGTAATCTTGCCAAAAGTGTTTGGTCTATGTGAAGGAATAGTTTAGTTATTACTTACGCAGCTGTTTTTGCTACGGCTTTGGAAGCAATGTTTGTTGTGGATGGCGACTAACGACACACCGAATTGATAGTTTAACTTTGGTTTGAATCAGTTTCATTTTCGCCCATTGTTTATCTACTAGGGTTCCACAGGACTTATCAACTGTTTTACGTTATAATCTCTCGTCACGGTCTTTCTATTCCCAAAAAAACTGCTTCTGCGTCCTGTTTCCCACAGTCACTAATTTTCTTCAATTTTAACGGAAGAACAGTTTAGTTAACTGTTCCGATGCCTAAAGATGTCCAGAGTTGCACATCATATTCGACTTTTCTTATCAGCCGAATTAAACTAGGAGCAAACCACTTAGCCAAGTGAAGTTTTGAGAATAATTAAGGTATACATTAAGATGCGCTGAGCCAATCGGTAATCAAGCCTTTTCTACTTAAATATTTTCGGCAGCCTTGCTTGTTTACAACATTGCGCAGTCACTTTTGGACAGGGCTTTTCGCATTATGCAATCTCGATCGGCTCATTCCCTGCTCCCTAAATTATCAATTTAGATCTCAGTTCCACCAGTTTATTGTTGCATTAAAATCAGTTTTTTATTTTTGCACACAACGGGTAGTTTGTTTATTTGGATAAAAGATCTGAAGATGAAAAGTGTTCCTTGAGTCTTAAATAGCGTCATTAAGGCTTTGAATGATCCGAGTTAATGGTACATTGCAAAACAACCCTCCGCTTTCAGCCATAGGCACTGCTGGCAATTCACTTTGCTCTTCCATTTCGCTAAAGGCATGGCGCATCAATAACCTTTGATCACCGAATCCTTGCGCTGACTTAGTTGTCGCCTGTGGAGCTTGTGGTTAGACTCTTATGTGTTTTTTATCTGACTTCAATTGCTGCTGTAAAATTTTTATGCCGAATCATGGCATATTTGACTAGGTAGTATCATATTTAAGGGACTTTCGATTTAGGATTTCATCAAATTGTTTTGCTTTCTTTGATGGTATTGTGGTGCAAGGCAGTCCTCTTACCATCTTAATAAATTGTTTCGTGGCTTATAACTAGCCTACTTTGTTTATGAGTACAATTTTCGATTGCTAATACTTGAATGATACTTTATCGCGCCACTCAGCCTAATAGCAGTCCGCTTGAGTAAGTTCCTGTATCATAGACTTCTCCTTCATTTACTGATAATCTCAGTGGATGGAAAAGAATGTGTGTTGTACTAGATTATCTTCATGTTTCAATTGTCAGGTGTGTTTGCTCTTTCGGGATACATTGGCGAAACAAAGTCTCTTGTTCACCTGGATCTTCGGCAAAACACCGTTGACACAGCTGGAATGATGGCGCTGACGCGAACTCTCAAGGTCAACAGGTCCCTTACCGCTCTCCTTTTGGACGCCCGTCGTCTTACCTCACCCCCAAATGAGGTAACATAACGTTGATCGGAACCATCCTAGGCTTGGTTTTGTGTAATTTGTTTCAGGCTATTTTAATTCATTTATAAGTCAAACATCAATTACAAAAACGGGTTCTGTGCGTGATGTTACTAGCTGGCATTTTTTACTTTTTCCATTCCTATACTTAGGTGAATGACATGTTACAAATCCTTCTTCAAGAACTAGATGACTACCTTCGCAGGAATCGTAAAATTCAATCTGTATCGCCAAGCTCCACGCTTCCAAAAGACTGTGAAACATTCTCTCCGAAGATCCAAACTGCTATTGAACATGTGTCTCCGACAAGCACGGCAGAGGATATAAACAGCGCTGAAGAGGCAGAGATCAAGGAGATCCTGCTTGATCCGCCAAAGCCTACCGTTACGCACACAAATGACCTCTCATTATTTTGGGGCTCTAGAAGGACTAAAGAACGTTCAGGAGAGCAGTTGATGTTGAAGGATGAAAAGGTTTTAAGCACCAGTATTGAAAGTAATGAGAACGAGCCCCTATCACAATTTACACCGGAACAGGAGCTGGTGGAATTGTACTCAAATAATTTAAGTACTTCTGCTGATGCACCAATTGTTGCAGATGTTGGGACTCCCGTTAACATGGAAGCTAGCCAATCCGAACCTGAAAGGCTTGTCGAAGATCATACACTGAGCTCTGATCAGTTAAAATCGGCTGATATATCGAAACTAGAAATAACCAAGAATGCACTGATCGTCACTAGGCCTGAACCTGAAGACCTTACTGCTGGATCTTCGATTGATTCCGCAACACACAACTTGGATCGTCAGGGGTTAGCAGCTTCACAAACAAACGATGCATCGAATGCTATTCTTACCAACGTTGAACCAAATGCCTCATCTGATTTTGGAGCTTGTAAACCTGAATTTGAAGGTCTTGGCGATGAGCCTCCGATGGAATTTGAAGCTTTTCTGATGGCGCAGAAAGAAGCAAATTATGCTTTGAATCCAGACTCTAATGACCAACTGGGAGTCAATGCTGAAGCCTTCCAGTTAGGTGACTTGAAAACTGAAGGTTTTTACTTCAATGGCGGAGTGGATAAAGGTTCTAGTGATCTTGATCTCGTAGATTCACTGATTACTGCCGAAACAAATGTAGAACATGGTTTGGAATCGTGCGGACCTACGAACAAAGGTTCTGAAAATGATAATGCAGCTGGCTTGGATATCCTTCCAGAGGGTCGAAATAATAAAATACCACTCCAAGCTGATAAAACTGTAATTGGTGATGAAGTTCCGCCGAAGATAGACACTCTACAGGGGGTTCTCTCAGAATCTGCTGTTCCTCTTTCAAGCGAATTGAATGAATCTTCTGCCAATATTAATGAAAGCTCTGAGGATTTGCATAATATCGGAGAAACAACGATTTTCACTCATTCGGGTGTTAGTGAACCTACAATAGGTGCTTCCCAGGCTAAAATAGTAGTGATGCATAAAAAACCGATGCTATCGGAAGCTAATGCTTTAGTAAAATCAAATTCTGTTGGAGTTGAGGAGAATTCTGCTGTTTTGTCGATTAGTGACGAGGCAAAGATTCCAATTTCCATGGGAAATGTCAATTCTGACACTGTAGATCTTTCGAAAGGATTTCCGATTGAGTCCAAAGAGTTGCATATGGATAGTTTGGAGCAGGACTTACTTAAAAGCACACGACTTTTAGATCTTCGCAACGATAACAACGCTGGAAAACTCGAAACTGATCTGGTTGTAGAACCTCGATCTGAGATCATGGTTGACCAGCCAGGAAAACTTGAAGAAAATTTTGGGGGTCTAAAAATCGCTGAAGATTTTAATAAATCCACAACTTCAAATGCTTCCAACCTTGAGATTGAAGGCTCTTTGAGTGCGCAAAGTGTAAAGGAGACTCCCATGGGCTCAACAGCTACTGAAGGACTTAAAACTTCCGTTACTCTGAAAGCTGGTAAATTTGATGTTGAAAACCTAGGCAATGAATCAACAGTTGAATTCGGAGCCCTACATTCGATTCATTCCGATTTAACAGATTACAGAACTAATGATAAGTCGGTCGAGGGTTCTCTTGAGGTGGAATCGAGGATTTGTTCTACTTTCGAAGCGCAAGCTGAAGTAATAAACAGCGGAAAACTAGTAGAAGTGGATAATCTACAGGATTCTCTCATCCCTGTTATTGGATCTGCTAGCCAGAAATCAAGTTCCGAGGATTTGCTAAAGGAGGCAATGCAGCAGTATCTCAACCCTGAGTTGGCAGCAGAAGTTAGACAGGGAGATGCAACGGTCATTCCTCAATCGGCATCAGCAAATAAAAGGTCGACAAACATAGATTCAGAGACTAGTGAGTCTGATGACTCCCTTTTCAATGAATCTAGTAATTCGCCGAAAATGACTGTAAATCTTTTTGACGGTGAGGTCGAGGTAGAGGGAGATGGGGAAGAAGGAAAATTCAAAGAGGATGCTTTCCAGAAGGATTCTTTGTGCGGCGAAGAAGCATGTTGGGATGACGCGGCATGGGATGGTAATGATGGTAACGACCGAAATACATCTTTAAAAATGGAAGACTCGCCTCAATCTGGTTCGAATGAATGCACAAAAACAGATTATGGAAGTGGATTGGAGGCTGATAATAAGTTGCTCTTGGTTGATAAGGCTTCTCAAGGTGATTTTGAACGAGTTGGGAGTGGGATTGAAGGCTCTGCGAAAGTTGCGGAGGGATCCTTCCACCTACACGATTCTACTATTGAAGTTGAGAATGTCTGGACATCCGCTAAGCGGAGTGAAAACACAGACGATGTGGTTAGGGTAGTTAAATGTGCTACTGAGGACCAATCAGAACTTCACAGCATGGAAAATTTATCAAATATTGAATTGGGATCAATGATACCTAATGAGAACTTGCACCAAATAACGAATAAAATGCACACATCTGCTATCTTGGATGATAAGGTTGTAGGGGATATGGGGAATTCTGGCAATACCTCCAAGCACGTTGACGAATCACACACCGAAAAGTCTGTTTGTGTTGCAAAATATGAGGCCGTTGCCGAGCATTCCGACGATGTGCTTCTGCACAATATGGACTTGACCGTTTCTGATGAATCTAACAGGTGCTGCAGAACTGATGGTGGATGTGAGCTTATAACTTCAGAGAGGGAAAACATACAAGAAACTGTATATTTGAACTTCAAGAATGTTTTAAAGAGCTCGTCTACTTTAATCGGAGCTTCTAAATCGCTTGATTTCATCCCGATGGAAACAAAAACGATTTCACTTGATAACAAAAAGGCGGAGTCATTTGGGTTTATGGACTTCTCTGGGCCTAATGTTGAACGTGATTGTTCTGGAAGCAAGACAATAATTGGACCCGAACATGTATCTGATTCTCAAGCAGAAATTGTTGGTGAGAAGATAGATTCTCAAAGTAATGTGCTTGGTGGGGAAACGGATTCTGAGGGAATCCAGTTTCATCTTCGAGTCGATGCACGTTTAGGACTCTTGGAAAGCCCCAAGTCATCTTTTAATGTCAACCCTGAATCATCACAACTAACCCTTGGTGAAAATTTTGAAGGTGGGGAGGCTTCAAGTTCGGTTCTCAAGCAGATTAGCTCATTGGAAGAAGGAGTTATAAATTCAGCAGTCATGGGAAATAAAAATCCAGGTCCTTCAACAGTGATCGCTTTGGACTTGGAAGGCAAAGAGTATGCGTCAAAATTATCTGAGGAAGCTGAAGGTATAAGGTCCAGATCAATAGCAGGACCTGTTAATTTTTTGGACCTTCCTCCCGCTGAAACTGAACCACATTTGGGTGAATTTGTCTCCCTTCCAACTATTCCTGTTACGCTCAACAGAGCGTTCGATACTATGCCCTTAGGGGAACGAGAGCTTGGCAGGACCTCAATAGTAGGTTGCGGGGGTGGTTCAGACAACTTGTCAAATCGGGATGGAACAGAATTGGATAAATCATCTGGCCTTCGTAAAACTAATTCCCATTTGTATGCCAGGGACCAGTCGTCAAGTTATCCGCTCGATTTTGTTCATTTCTTACGTAAACCACTTATTCAGCCTAATGGCCCTGAGAGTGTTACGTCGCCTACAGGCGAGGCCGAATTAGTCTTACAGCAATCACCTGAAGGAATAGCTCCAGAATTATCAGAGAACGACATTCTTTGTGAGTCGGATATTAGCCTTGATTGTGGAGGGCAACTGGTCAATCCACTTCCAGATTCTACATCTCTTGAGGGATCAAAACTCGAAGCAGCAGAGGCCAGTTTTGGCAGTTTTAAATCATTGAATCAAATTGATGGAGATCGAATGTCAAATTGTCCGGTTCCATCTTCGCATGAGGAACCATCAGCTACATCTTGTCCGGTTGTGGAGTTGTCCGAAATGGATAAAAACAGCACTGTTAGTGGGCTTGGTGAAAGAAATGCAACATACGAACCGTCTGAACTACTTTGCACTGGTGACTCCCATGTAAATTTTGGGGCTGAAAGGTCGATTGCCGACGTTTTGTCGACGGATGCCAAACTTTTTAATAGTTTCCAGCGTGGCGATGAATTAGCTAGAGACGAAGGATCTCACTCGAAATCGTCTTCGGATCCGAATGCTACTCATGACTGGAAAGGTGAAGGACTTCCGTCTTTTGATGTTTGTCAGATGGAATCGTCCACTAGAGTCCCAATAGACGGCGCACACAGCGATAATTTCAGTGCTGAGAAGGGACAAATTGGTGGTATCAGTGATGCTAAGTCGCTAGACTTCAAACCGCCCATTAGAACAAAAGAAATAACAGGGATCGATGAATCAGAAGTAAAACTGACTGTTCACAAAATGCTCCAACCAAGCATTGCAGAAGATATCTTAAATGGTGCAAATAGGAATAATCTAGCCCAAATCGAATTTGATACGATGTCCACGGGGGTTATGGCAGTTCAGGCTGAACTACTTTCCCGATCTGTAGAACCGGAGATTTTCGGTCCTGCAACCCAACATGATAGGGG